TTGCAATGGGTAGCACACCGTGTTGCAATGGCGAGTGTGTCGCAGAGGGAAGTGTGTCACGACGGGGAACGTGTCACGATACAGAGCGCGTCGCAGCAGGGAGGGTGTTGTGACTGGGAGCGTATCGCGACAGGCGGGCCCTGCTCACCGGGGGCGTGTCACGACGTTCAGATACTGCTGCAGATCGTTGTAGAAGCGCAGCAGGTCCTCGACGGGCGCGTCGTCGCCGGGGTAGGTGGGCTGGGCCGGGGCCGCGCGGGGCCGCAGCGGCAGCAGCGCCAGCGCACAGGCCACCAGCAGCAACGGCGGCCAGCGGGGAGACATGGCTGGGGACAGGGCAGCTGTGAGCACACGTGTGTGCATGGCACACGGATCACACAACACTTGAACACAGCACTGTGTGTTCACACACGTGTGTGCACAGCACGTGGCATGCACATATGTGCAAACACAGCATTGTGTGCTCAGCACACAGCACACATGTGGCTGTGGACAGCACTGTGTGCTTGCACACACATGTGGACAGTGCACAGCACACACACACGCGCGAGCACGTCACCTGGCTGCACACACACGCACACAGACACACACATGCACATGTGTGTGCACGCCAGCCAGTTGCACACATACAGGCACAGCACTGGCTGCACACACATGCACGCACACATGCACACCACCCAGCTGCACACATACACACGTATACACTTGTGCACACTTCCTGGCTGCACACACATGCACATGCACATATCAGAGCATGCACCACCCTTGCACACTCACACACGCCCATCTCTGCTCCACACGCCCACACAGACCACCCCTCCTGCAGCACACACATGTCAGGGCATGCCTGCCTCACCGTGCACACGCACACACCTGCACGCTTCATGTACTCACTCACATGTGCATACACGTGTGAACACTCAAGCACATACACACGTGCGCGCACACACACACGTGCGCGCGCACACACACACTCCCACATGCACATACCCGCACGCTCCCACATGCACATACCCGCGCGCTCCCATGCCCACCCGGGTCCCACCCCCGCACACTCACCCCCACTCCTGGCCTTGCACAGGGGCGTGCACACCCGTTTCACACCTCCACACGTTCCAGCCCCTTACACACCCTACTGATCACACGCCCACCCGCTGCTCACATCTGCACCCCCACCTTCCCACAGCCCTCCGGCCCCACTCACCTGCTTCCACGGGTGGGGACACAGGGACACAGCGGGACAAGGGAACACGGCGGGATGAGAGGACGCACCTGACACCCCGGTTCCTCGGTGCCACTGCTGCCACTGCCGTGCAGGTCCTTATATCCCCCTGTCCCCCCTGATGTCACCCTGCCACGCAGCACCTGTGGCCAGGTGCCCATTCGGCCGGGGGGGACAGGGGCCATCGTGGGGGGTGACAGGGACAGGTGGCCCCTGCAAAACACTGGTTAATGTTTGACCCTGGGCTGGGGGGGCTTCCGTGGGGGGACAGGATATGGACATGGGTGTCCAGCATCGGGGATGGACAAAGGGACAGCTGTGGGGACAGAGGGATTAGGGGGGGACAGTCAGGGCGTCTGGTGGGGTACAAGGGTGGGAAGTAGTGGGAGGGGTGGACAGATGGATGGGGAGTGGGACAGGGAGACACTGGAGGGACAGACAGATGGACAGGGGGGTGGGAGGGCCAAGGGGGTGAGGTGGGCAATGTTGGGGTGAGGGGTGGGATAGAAGGACAGAGGGATAGAGGCATTGGGGCAGGGGAGACACAGCCACCCCCCACTGAGGCCATGCCTGAGGACGTGGCTGTCCCCCTGCTCCCACCATGGCCAGGTGGGGGGTCAGAGGGACGGGGAACCCCCAGCCCTGGCACAGCCCTGATGGTCGCAGTCCCTGTGCGGAGGGACCCCACGGTGGGTGTCAGCACCCACTACCCATGCACCCCACACCCAGTGCACCCCAGTACCCCCATACACCCCAGCACCACTACCCGTACACCCCAGCACCACTACCAGTACCCCCCAACACCCAGTGCACCCCACACCCAGTGCACCCCACACCCAGTTCCTCCTACAGCCAGTGCACCTCTGCACCCACTGCTGGTGCACCCCACACCCAGCGCACCCCACACCCAGCACACCCCAGGACCCAGTGCACCCCACACCCAGTGCACCCCACACCCAGTGCACCCCATCACCCAGTGCACCCCACACCCAGTGCACCCCATACCCCCACCCCAGCACCCACCACTAGTGTCCCCCTGTGGCCCATGAGCTCCAGGACCATCACAGCCCCCCCAGCACACCGCCAAATCCAGCACACCCCCACACCTTTTGCAGCCCCACGCTCGGCCTCAGGGGACCCAGTTTCCCTGTGCACTCCAACACCCATCGACAGTGTACCCCCCAGAACTGCCCCCACCTTACCCCACACCCAGTGCACCCCAGTATCCAACCCCAGTGTGCCCCAGTGTACCCCATTCTCCCTCCCCACCCCTCTCCCACAAGCCCCCATCCCTCACCCCCTTCCACTCCTCCATTCACTTCCCCCTTTCAACCCTCCCACCCCCCATCTCTACCCACCCCTCCACCCCCCGTCCCTGCACCCAAGGATGTCCTGTCCCTTGTTCCTTCCACCTGGTCTCAACTCCTCCATCCCCCCTGCACCCCTCCATCCCTCCTGCACCCCTCCATATCTCCTGCATCCTCCCTGCACCCGTCCATACCCCCTGCATCCTTCAATTCCTCCCACTTCCCTTCTACAGCCCTCTACCCCTCCACCCCTCCCTCTCCCCTCCATCTTCCCCTGCACCCCTCCAGCCCTACTGCATCCCCCCCAGCATCCCTCCATCCTTCCCTGCACCCCTGAATCCCTCGTGCATCCCCCCCTTCATCCTTCCTGCACACCCTCCATCCCACCTGCGCCCCTCCATCCCCTCCCCTCTCCATCCCCTCTTCACTCCCCTCCTCCCCTTCATCCCACTTGCACCCCTACATCCCTCCTGCACTCCTCCATTCCCTCTACATCCTCCCTGCATCCCTTTATCCTTCCCTGCACCTCTCCATCCCCCTTGTACCCCTGTATTCCCCTGGCGCCCCCCCCACACACAGCACAAACCCGGCAGTGCCCACGATCGTGTCTTTATTGCCGCTGCGGGGGCGTGCAGGGACCACGCGGGACCCCCCCAACAGCGGTGGGGAGGGGATGGGGTCGGGGCCCCCCCCGACAGCGGGACGCCCCTGGGCCGGGATCTGGGGGTTCCCGACCCTCCAGAGGGGGGTCCCGCACTGGCCCTGGGTCCCCTGGGGAGACGTGGAGAGATAGGGAGGGTTTGGGGGACAGAGGGACTGGAGGGGGGTGCCGTCACCATGCGGAGTCGTCGTCGTACCTGCCGGGAAGAGCTGATGTGAGAAAAGAGGGAACGAGACCCCCAAATCCCCCTGGGACCTCAAACAACCCCGGGGTGTGGGGGCCGGTGCAGCCCCTTGTCCCTGTGCGCGGGTCGGTGGGGACAGGGACGGGGAGACTCACCTTGACCTGTCACTGCCGGCCCCCAGGAGCAGTTCCGTCACCGCGGCGTCGGGGCTGGCGCGTTTGCCGTACCTGCGGGACACAGGGCACACGCGCGTGCAACGGGGACCCCACGGGGGTGTGCACGAGTGTGCAAAGGAGGAACCGCCGGAGCCCCCGGGGGCGCACAAGGACGGGCACGGGCGTGAAAATGGAGACTCGCGCGTGCAAAGGGGCTTGCACGAGCACCGCGGGGTTCGCCCACATGCGTTCACGGTCACTCGCGCTCACCTCTGCCGCGTGACCAGGTTGATGTAGTGGCGAAGGGCCGAGAAGTACCGGGCCATCTCCTCGGGGGACGCGTCGTCCCCGGGGCTCTCGGGCTTGGCGGGGTACGCGGCCGTCAGCGCAGCCAAGCACAGCAGGGCGCAGAGCGACACGGCCACCAGCGCGTGCCACGGCCGCGGGGATAGCACCATCTGCGGGGACACGGGAGCGAGGGGGGGCTGCGGCTTCGTGTGGGTCACCTCCATCGTCCCCGCGTACCCTGTCACCTTGGGGTACCCCTGTCACTGCCAGGTATCCTCTATAGGTCACCTCCATCACCCTCAGCTATCCCCATGACCTTTGGGTACCCCCAACCCTGCTCTGTCCCCCACCAAACCCCCATTCCCCCGAGATATCTCACCCCCAAGGACCCCAATCCCTATGGGAATGTCACACCCCCAGGATGCCCCCCTGTCCCCCAAAGGGATGTGTCCCTCCACCACCTGGGACTCCAGCCTCACTCAAGAGACTGCTTCCCTCCAGGGACCCTCCCATGTCCCAGAGACCCCCACAGTGTCCCAAAGGGGCTGTCCCACCCAAAAGGACCCCAGACGCCCACGTCCACCCCAAGGGACACCTCCCCATAAGGGACGCCACATGTCCCCAAGGGAGGGGGGTGATTCTCCCTCCCTGGGATCCCAGCCTCCCCTCAGGGACCCCCAGGACCTCAGTCCTGTCCCCGCACTCACGATGGCAGAGGCAGAGGTGACAGGCAGGGCCTGGCAGTGGGGTGACAGTGCCAGGGACACGGCAGTTCCCCGACCCGCCCAGGGTTTTATAGCCTCGGAGGGGGCTCCTGGCTCCTCCCTCATGCGTGACCAACCCATGGGCACGCAGGACCCCGGCGACCCCCCCGCTACCACCCCCGGCCAGCACCTTGTCACCATCCCTCAGCAGAGCACCCCAGCCTGGGACCCCGAGGGGCTGGGGAGGACAGAGCATGGGGGGCATAGCTGGGACACAGAGATATGGGAACATGGGGACACGAGCGCAGCCAGAGGACACAGATGTGGCAATGCCAGATGGGCGCAGGACACGGACACAGATGTGACATGTCACCAGGGCACATGAACATGGCACACAGGTACAGGTGTGACATGTAACTGGGGCACACGGGCACAGAGGTGACAGGCAGACATGGCACAAGGACACGGGACACAGACACAGATGTGACACACAACCATGGTGTGTGGACACAGGTGTGACAGGCAGCCATGGCACACAGGCACACATGTCACGTGCAGCCATGGCACAGATGTGACATACAGCTTTGGCACATGGGCATGGGACACAGATATGGATGTGACGTAGCCAGGGCTCTTGAATATATCATAAGGACACAGAAGTGACAGGCAGCCATGGCACAAGGACACGGGACATGGACACAGATGTGACACAACCATGGCATAGGACATCTCACAGAGGTGACATGCAAGCATGGCACATGAACACAGACATGACAGGCAGACCTGGCACATGAACATGGCACACAGACATAGATGTGACATACAGCTACAGCAACTGGACACAAAAGTAACACAGCCATGGCACAGGGACACATATGTCACACACAACCACGGCACACACATCTGCCCCCAAGACAGTCTCGGGATGTGACAGTGTGACACAGGAACATCAGCCACACCCAGGGACACAAACACAGTACAGCCACGACATAGCACATGGGATACCACCCACGGCCCTGGCAAAAGCTGCCCACGGGGGACAGTGCAGGGGACAGTCCCAGCCCAAAGCCGCGGCTGCCTCAGTTTCCCCAGACGGGGCACGAAGTCCTTGTCACCACAGCCTCCGCCACCACAGCTGCTGTCACCGCTGTCCCCGCCACCGCCATCGATCCCTGTCACCGCCCCCAGGACGGATGAGGTGCCCTTTCCAGCCTCTAGCACCGGGAACACTAATCCGGTATGGATTTGCCATTAAGGAGCAATCACCGGCTCCTGGGGAAACTGAGGCACGGAGGGACCCGGTGGGAAGGTGCCCACCGGGCAGAGACCACCAAAGCCACCCTGTGGGTGCTGGGATGGGGAGAGGTGGCAGAAGGGAGTCCCCAAAAACGTCGGGATGGTCCCAGCCAGATGCAGCCGCATCTCCAGCCGGTGGCATGGAAGGGACACGGATCGTCTCCTCAGGGGATACTGCGGGGTGACAACGGCCCAGAAAGAGGGGACACAGCTCGGGGGGACACTGCGGGGTGACACTGGCCCAGATAGAGGGGACACGGCTTGTGTGCACCACGGCTCGGTGTCGCGCCACTGCTCCGATTGGAGGTGACAAAGCTCCTGGGGACCCCGCGGGGTGCCACCGTTCCGCATGGTGGGGACATGGTTAAGCGAGGACCCTGCGGGGCGCCACCAGCCCGGCTGGAGGGGACATGGCACACGGGACCCCGCGGGGTGCCAGTCCCGGCCGGAGGGGACACGCTCCCCACTCCTGCCCCGGCCGCCACCCCGGCGAGCGGCGGCAGGGACACGGCTGATGGCAGTCCTCCGCGGGGGTTCCAGCCCCGGGGGGGTCCCCAGCCCCGGGGGGAGGTCACCCCCGTGGCGTGGCCGCGGTGTGACACGCGCCAGTGTGCGGGGACACGGGCGGGGGGTGCACGCTGCCCCGGGCGGGCGGTGCCGGGCTTACGGCAGCCTGGGGTGAGGCGGGGAGCTGAGCCCCCCCAGCCCCCGCAGCCCCCCCAGGCCGGCACCTTTCACGTCCCCGCGGTCGATGCGGGGTTGATTGGATTGAGGGGGCTCCGGACCCCCCGCAGCGTCCTGACAGGTGTGCAGAGAAACTGAGGCAGCGGGGCTGGATCTGCCCAGCAGACGAGAGCCCCGAGAGAAGGGTCTCAGCCACCCTGACGTTCGGGGAGGACACACACCACCCCCACAGCCCCACCGACCCCCACCACAGCGGCAATGTCACCGCGTTGTGTAACAGACGTCCCCGAGCCGCGGCCGGGGGAGATATCGGGGTGCGGGTGGCCCCCAGCCCCCCGGGGGGGGGGGGTCGGGGAAGGGACACGAGGACTTTCTGCCCCATTTATCCCGAGTGACGGTAAACAGCCATTTTCCAAAGGTCACAGGATGGCTCTGCCAGCGGAAGGGGGTGGACACAGAGGTGGTGGAGGGGCTCCCTCAGCAGAGGTGGGACCCCGAAGGGGACAGGGCAGGGGGGCCCCCCCATCTCTCCACTGGGCATTGAGGAGGATGAGGAGGGTCTGGGGGTGAAGGTGCGTGGCTGCAGCCCCGAGGAGGGGTCCTGGGAGGGTGAAGAGCCCCAGTGCCCCCCCCACCCCGAGCAAACAGGGCTCTGCCGCTTCCCCGCGCTTTATGGCCCCGGTTCCGCCGGAGGCGCATTAGGGCCCCCCCGGGCTCCCTCCACCCCGGAGGAAGCCCCTTATCAGCCCTGTTTGCTTTTCCGGAGGGGGCAGGGGGGGACGGACACCTGCCCAGCCAGGTGACAGGGTGGGGGCAGCGAGGACACAGCCCGTGGGGACTCTGGGGGGGTGCCAATCGGGCCCCCCCACCCCATGCCAGAACACTCATAACCCACCAGCTGAGCAACCCAGGTGGGCATGGGCAGGGCACCCGGCCTGGGACCCCCCTCACCCCCCTGCCCAAGTTTCCCCACTGAAAGGAGGGGAACACCCAGTATCACTCACACTGGCTCCCCCCCAAGCCCCTCAAGTAGCTTCTCTCCCCTCTGAGCCCCCCAAAGCAGCTCCCCCTTCAAACTCCCAAAACTTCTCTCCCCACAGCAGCTCCCCCCAAAAGTAGCTCCACTCCAAGCCCCCCAGAGCACCTTGCCTGAAGACCCCAAAAAACAGCTTCCCTGATGCAGCCCCTCCTCCAAGCCCCCAAAGTGGCTCCCCTAAAGCAGCTCCCCCAACTCCAAGGCCCCCAAAAGCATCTTCCCATATTGAAGTCCCCCCCAAGGCCTCCAAAAGCTTCTCCCCATATTGCAGTTCCCCCCAAAGCCCCCCAAAAGCAGCTCCTCTCAAAGCAGTTCACCCCAAACCTCCCAAAAGTGGATTCCCCTGAATCAGCTCCCCCCTGCAAGCCCCTCAAAAGCATCTCCCCCAAACCTCCAAAAACGGTTCCCCCCAAAGCAGTTTCCCCCAAAAGCAGCTCCCTCCAAGCCCTCCGAAAGCATCCTCCCCAAAAGCAGCTCCCCTTCCAAGCCCCCCCAAATAGTTTTTCCTTCAAACCCTCAAAGCTGCAGCCCCCCACCCTTCGTCACACAACAGCCAAGCTCCCCCGGGGAAATGACATAAAAGACTTCTCCTTTCATCAGTAAAAATACACTTTTTTTGGGGGGGCCAATGACACCCCTCAGCGGGGAGAGGGGCTGTGACCACACAGTGGCTGGCACCCCCCCGGAAGGACCCCCCACACCCCCTCAGGAGCCCTGACCTCTGCCAAAATTATCAAATACAGTATTTACAAACAAACAAACAAAAAAACCAATGAATAAATAGCGGCAATCCTTAAAAAAAAACCCCGTCCCTCTCCCTCCCCTTCCTTGCAGTTTTCCTGCTCATCCATCGGTAGCCAGGATCACCACAGCCCCAAAAATGCCGACATTCTGGCCAATGAGCTTCATCTGGTTCCAGAACTCGACGCGGCGGGCGGCGTGCCAGTACCCCAGGTTGCCATCGATGAGCAGGATGGCGAGGGGCAGTAGCACTGCCAGCACCTGGGCAGCTGCCCGCACATAGTATCCCGACAGGAATGCCAGGGCCAGCAGCCCATAGAGCAGGAAGAGCAGCTGCAGGGCCAGCTCCCCTCCCAGCAGATGGTCCAGGTAGGCCAGGCGGTCCTCGGTGCTGTGCTGCAGGGAGTAGGCCTGGTGGGGCAAAGGGGGAAGTGGGGTGGCACTGGGGACACTCATAGTGAGGGGTGTACCCCAGGGATAATGGGGGGTGGCACTGGTGCCAATGGTGGCACTGGAAATGCTTGTCCAACACTTCTCCCTCAGGGACAATGGGGGAACTGGAGTGTAGTGGCACTGGTGCCAGTGGTGGCACTGGTAGCACTGACTGGAGACTTCTCCCCCAGGGACAATGGGAGAAGTGGACTGTGGTAGCACTGGTGCCAATGGTGGCACTGGTAGCGCTCACCCAAGGCTTCTCCCCCAGGGACAATGGGAGAACTGGAGTGTGGTAGCACTGGTACCAGTGGTGGCACTGGCAACACTCATCCAAGGCTTCTTCCCCAGGGACAACAGGGGGCAAAGTGCCACTGGTGGCACTGGGAACACCCACCTGAGCTTCTCCCAGGGACAACACGGGGCTGGGGTGTAGTGGCACTGGTACCACTGGTAACAGTGCCCTGAGGTTTCTTTTAGGGACAATAGGGGAAAATGGTTCCACTGGTGGCACTGGTGGCACCCACCTGAGCTTCTCCCAGGGACAACGTGGGGCTGGGGTGTGGGGCACTGGTACCGCTGGTAACACCCACCTGAGCTTCTCTCAGTGACAATTTGGGGCTGGGGCGTGGTGGCACTGGAAACACCCACCCCAGGAGGTTTCTCCCCACGGAATTGTGGCTCCATCCCCCAAGCAGCAGCGGGGCAGGGATGTGTTCCTCGTACCTGACAGATGAGGTAGATGCCCAGGAACACCTGGCCTGTGGACTGCAGGGAGCGGCTCCGCGGTTTCTGCCGGTACAGCTCCCCGGCGCCGCTGGCCAGGATGAGGAACCCACCGATGATGGCAATGGTCCGGGAGTACATCCGCACCTGGGGGGGGTCACTGTCACTGTCACCGCACCCCCCCGGGCTCTGGGGGGTCTGTCACGGCCCACGGAGGGGCTCTCACCTTCAGCCAGTCGCCATAGTGCACGTGCCCCCCAATGTGGGCGGCGTAGGTGGCCACAGCGAGCTGCAGGGCGGCCCCCAGGGCGAACCAGCGCCGCTTCACCCCGAAGGACATGAAGCTGGCACAGAGCACGGCCACTCCCATGTCCACATACAGGTAGGGCACTGGGATGTCCGGCTTCCTGCGGGCATGGCAACTCCAGGGTGTGCCCAGTGCTCCTGGGCAGGCTGGGCACCCCCAGGCTCACCCCAGACCCCCCAAACCCTCCCCTAAGTCATAATTCTGCCAAAACCCTTCCCCAGCCCCCCAAACTCTCCGGACACCCCAAACTCTCCCTCACTCCCCAACTCTGCCAGGACCCTCCCCTGGCCCTACAGAGCCCCATATCAGCCCCAAGCCCCCTCCAGGCCCCTCAGCCCCACACCAGTCCCAGATCCCCTGGGCTCTCCTCCAGACCCTCATGGCCCCACACCCCACAGCCACCCCCAGCCCGCCGCAGTCCCCCATCAGCCCCAAACCCCACAACCAGCCCCGGACCCTCCTAGCCCCACACCAGCCCCAGAATCACCCCCAGGCCCTCACAGCACCGGGACCCCCACAACCACTCCCAGACCCCACAACCACCCCCAGACCCTCCCAGCCCCACAACCACTCCCAGACCCCGCAGCCCCCTCAGGTTTATCCCCTCCCCTTCTCCCCACCCCGCCCCGCCCCGCACCGGCGCAGGTCGGCGCGCTCCGCGCAGAGCAGGAGGCCGCTGAAGCAGTGCCAGAAGGGGAAGCGGGTGAGCAGGACGCCGCCGCCCGCCGTGAGCAGCCGCAGCGCCCGGCGCCGCCACCCGCGGCCCGCCGCCATCACGGGCTCGTCCCGCCGGAAGTGCCGCGCCGGAAGTACTGCCCTGAGCCCTAACCCTGCCCCAAGCCCCACCCCCTTTCCTAAGCCCTGCCCCATCAATGACTTATTTCCTCCTAAGCCACGCCCCTTGTGCCTAATCCACGCCTCTCCATTGAAATTGACCCCCACTCCAAGGTCCGCCCCCTCGCCCTAAGCCCCACCCCCTCCATTGAGGCCCCGCCCCCTCCGTTGAGCCCCAACAGACGCCGGTGATGGTTAAAAAAATTTCGGGTTTTTATTGTTTTTTTTTTGCTAAACAAGACTAAAAAATTTTCCTTTTTTTTTCTTTTTTTTTAAATTTTTTTTTTTAATCTTTAACTCTCCTAAAGGCAGGGCTTGAATTGTTTTTTGAGTTTGATCCATTTGTTTTTTGCTTTTTTAAAAAAAAAAAATCAAACAAAAAAGGGGAGGGAGAGGATTGTGGCAAAAAAAAAATTAAAAAAATTAAAAACTAAATGAAAAAGGGCAAAAAAATTAAAAACATAAAGGAAATAAGCGGGGGGGGAACCCCAAATCCAGGTTCTGGATGATCCTGGGATGGGCGTTAGGGGGGATTTTTTGCCACAATCCTGCTAGAAGCAAATATTTAAAGAACATTTTAATATATATTCATATATATATTTAAAGATAAGAAAAATAAGACTAATTCAAGCCTTGCCCTGTGCAAACAAAATTAAAACGAGACCATGTTGGTCACGAGGGTCCCGGGTTGGCCACCGCAGTGAGCTTGTAATTTTATTTTTTGGGCGTTTTTTGGGTGGGGAGAGGGAAAGGTAGAAACTGGGAGGAAAAAAGGAAAAAAAAAAAGCCAAAAAATAAAATTAACAGAGCCTGCCCTGCTGGAGGGGAGAAAACATGGCAGAGAAAAACCAAAGTCTGTTAGTCAAGTAATGCGTGAAGAGGAGCTTTTAAATTATTCTCTTTTTCTCGTTTTTTTTTTTTTTTTTTTTTAAGTTCTTAAAGTTGGAATTTGAGTTGAGATTTTTCCCCCCCAAAAAAAAAAAAAAAAAAAGGAAATAAAAGCGTGAAGGTGCCCCCGGCGCCGCCTCCCGGGAGGGAGGGTACAACGGGGACAGGGTGATCTCATCCCGAGATGGCCTCAGGATGACAGGGACGTGTCCTTCTGTGTCTGCTGTGCTTGTGAACGCTGCAGGACCTTCTGGCTTTCCACGTCCCGGAAATGTTTCTCCACCTGCATTGGGAAGGGTGGGATGGGGGGAGAAAGAGATGTGTTTAGGGGGAAAAAAAAAAGGTGGGGACGGGATATGGGGTGGGAAGGGGCTGGAATCTACCCAGGGATGGGCCACAGGTGTCCCCAGGGATGTGACACCCTGCCAGTATAACCAGTGTCTCCAGTCCCCCCAGTCCCTATTCACTATTTAATGTATTTAAAAAAAGGGTGGGAAGGGGATCTGGGGCAGGAAGGGGATCCATGGGATGGGAAGGGATGTCCAAGAGAGGCTGGAGATCACCAGGAAGGACTGGAGACCAAACAAGGAGGAATACTGGCTGTCCCCAGGGATGTGACACCCTGCCAGTATTCCCAGTCTCCCCAGTCCCTACTCATTCTTGTGTATGTGACTCAGAAAAGGGTGGGAAGGGGATTCAGGGTGGGAAAGAGATCCACAAGAGGGGCTGGAGAGCCCCATGAGGAGCTGGAACCAACCCAGGGATGGGCTACAGGGGCCTCCAGGGATGTGACACCCTTCCAGTGTCCCCAGTCTCCCCCAACCTGTACTCACTATTTTGTGATGTGACTCAAAAAATGATGGGAAGGGGATTTGGAGCGGGAAGGCGATGCCCGGGAGGGGCTGGAGCCCACCCAGGGATGGACCACAGGTGTCCCCAGGGCTGTGACACCCTCCCAGTATTCCCAGTATCCCCAGTCCTCCCCATACTCACTATTTTCCGTACGTGACTCAGGGCGCTTCCCTCTTTGCCTTTACAGTTTTCCACCTGGTACGGAGGAGCAATAACGACTTCTTCCATCACAACTATGTTCTTCTCCTGCCATTTACAGTCTTTAATGCTGCAGGGGAGGGAAAAACGGGATCAGGGAATGCTGCCTGACCTGGGAAAGCCACCACCTGCCCTGCAGTGTCTCACTGAGGGGGAGTAAAAAGCCCCTCAGTCGCTCCAGGGTATCCAACTAGAGAGGGATGGGAGTCAAGGGGATGGGATGTGCCAGGAAGGGGCAGGGAGCAGGAAGAGAGCCATCTTCCCTCCCTGAGGATTCCATGGCTCCATCCAGCACATCCCAGGACACACATCAGCACCATTCCATGGCAAACCCAAGGGACCAAGCAATGGGAATTCCCCCCAAAAAAGGGTACGAGTGACCCCAAAACAGAGCGTGGGAGGGACTAGTGATCCCGAGGGAAGGGACTTACGTCTTATGGATAGTCTGGAAGAGCTGCTGCCCCTCCAGGGAGACACCAGCACTAATTGCATATGCCTGGCTCATCTTCTCCTCCTTCTCCGTCCGTGCTTTGTTGGCAAGCTGGGAGAACACAGGGAGAGGGAATTTGGCTGGGTGTCACCCCGGAGCTCTGAGGGGACAAAGGGACCCCCCCAGGCACAGCTCTGCCACTCCCCATTAAATCAGGATAACAACAAATGTGACATCCCCACCCTCCCACCATCCCTTCTCCGCACAATTCCAGCCTTAATTCCTTTTTTGAGGTACTGCCAGCATCCCCCTGATATTTGGGGAATGTGGGTGTCACCTTTTCACATCCCCCTATCCCTTCCCCTCGGCCTTTTTCAGAATAATTCTGGCATTTTAGGTCCAAACCACCTTCACTACTTGGTTTTCTCGGGTGATGGAGATGGGGAAGAGGAGCCTGGAATAACCATTACATTGGGAGTAAATGCTCCACACAGGAGGATGGGGAACTTTATCCCAGAGCAGTTACTCTGTTCCCAAAATAAGGACAGAATTGGTTATCTGGGAGTTGCATCCATGTGTGGGGAAGTGTGATTCCACACAGGGTCCTGGAATAAAGAAAGGAAAGCCCAATCTTGGCATCTCATGGATGTGGGAGGAGAAGGACACAGTGCGTGGAGGCAGGAGCCCTGGACCAGCCACCTTTTCCTGGGCCTTTTTCCAGCTGGAGCTGCCACAGTAGAAGAGCTACATTAGCATTGCCCCTCCTCTTCCTCCTCCTGGAACCTCCCTGCTTCCCAAGCTGGACTGGCTTCCTGTGTGAGGGGGGTTCCACCCCTTCCAAAGCCCCTCTGGATACAGAAAGCCCGAGCTCCCACTGACTGGGGACACTTTTGTGCTCTCAAGGGACAGGTGTCCCTGTCCAAGCCATCCCACGTCTTCTCTCCATGTCCAGGGAAGGAGGAGTCACTGAAGGAGCACTGGGGTGCTCCCCACGTGTTTCCCAGCCTTCCATGGAGCAAAGAAAACCTCAGGAGGGATGGGATCCTTCCTCACCCCCAGCACAAGCAGTCCCCAAAGCCTCCCACCCCGTTCCATGTGGGAATTGCTCATTCCAAGACCACCAGTCAGGCTTCCAAACTGACCACAACATTCCACAGGAATTTTCCTGCACCCCACGTCATCCCCAGCTGTCTGTGGGGATGCCACAACCCCTTGTCCATCTGGGGGGGATGCCCCAAGGCTGGAGAACTGAGATTGCCCCCAGCTCCATCACCTGTGTCAAAGCTTCCCCCCATTGAGCTGGGATGGACTGGAATTGTGGCCCTGAGCACTGGGAATCACCTCTGCCGTGCCCAGCTCAGCTCCCCAAAGCAGATACCTTTCCCAGATAGATCCCCTTCCCAGAGATCCTCTTCCCAGCCAGTAGATCCCCCTTCCCACCCAGACCCCTTCCATCCGGCAGATCACCATTCCCCAGCCTGAGATTTAGATTCACTTTATCCAAAGCCTCTCTCTTTCCCAGGCCTTGGGATGCTCTTCCAGCAGCTGCGGCATCCAGATTTGGGATTTGAGAACAGCCCTGGTAAGAGGCCACCGGGGGAAGACTGGAAACACCAGAGAGGTGAGGATGAAGAGCTGCCAGCCTGGGCAGCATCCCAGCATTTCCATCAGGATCCATCCCTGTGCTCCTCATCTCCCTACCCATCCATGTTTCCCAACAAAAAACAGATCAGAACCACCAAGCTCTCCAGCCTTCTGGATTCAAGCATTCCAAGGAATCCCAGTATTCCCCCTGCAGGGAGCATCTCCGGGGCTGCTGGAAAAGCTGGAATAGGGACACACACCTTGTGTGAGGTGGAATGAATGGATGAGTCACTTCCCTGCTCCCTCTGGATGAATGACGGGAATACGCAGCAGGAGGCACAAGGAGAGGGTGAGGGCCACCAAGGGCCATTCCAGGGCCTCCCAAAGCCGGAATGGCCCCTTATCCCACTCAGGTGCCAAGCACAGCTTGGGGGATCACCTCCCACCACTGCCCCCCATCCCTTTCCAACAGGGGTTCTGGATCCTGTTGTTTTCCAAGCCTTTGCTCCCAACACTCTCTCTCCACTGAGAACCAGGCGAGGTTCTCTGCTTCCTCTCTCGGGCCTTCCAGAGGAGCACCTGGAGCACCACAATTCCCATTGTGCCAACACACAAAACACCACCATCTAGACCCCCAAACGCCAAAATCCAGACCCCAAATTCTGAAATCTTCTCCCAGTACAACCAGAATCAGCCATCCATACTCCAATCCTGCAGCAACACCAGATGCTTGTGCATCCATGGGGAAGGAAACGTGGGGTCAGAGCCTCTCAGAACCCCTCTCCTGCCATTGGATTGGGAACATGGACATTCCAGTGGCTGGAAAACGACCATCCATTACTTCCCCACAATTATGTGGATGCTGGAAAAGACCAGAGTGTTGGAATTCCTGAGGGGTTTCCCCTTGGGCTGCGCTCCCAGTGATGCCAGTGACAGTCAACAGTCACATCTTGATAACAGCTGTGTCACCCGAGACCTCCTCCGATATGTTAATCTAACCCTAATCCATCGGGAAGGGACGGACACCCGGTTGGTGCCATCTGTGTGACACCAACCACCGGGAGAAGTGTCCCTGTGGGATGAGGAGGTGACAGCTGAGACCCCTACAGCCAGGCCCCACACCTAGACTCATCCCAGCACCGAGGGCTTGGGGTCACCTTCCCTTTCTCTGACAGCACTGCTGGGAATCAGCAGCGATCCCATTCCAGGGATTCCTCAAAATCCACATGTGCTTTGTCCCTCCTGTCTGCTGTGCCACCACTCAGCTTCATCCAGGCCCCAAACACCATCACTTAGAGCCAAACTGCCAGAATCCAGGCCCAAAAATACCAGAATATCCAGGTCCCAGAATACTGTCATCTGGACCCCAAATGCCAAAATCAAGGCCCCAGAATGCCATCATCTTAGACACAAAATACCAAAATCCAGGCCCCAAAGCACCAAAAATCCAGACCCAAAATGTCCAAAATCTAGACACAAGTCACCCAAAGTCCAGAGCCCCAAAATACCAAAATCCGGGCCCCAAAACCACCCAAAATCCAGATCTGTAACACCAAAATCCAGGCCCCAAACCCACCCAAAATCCAGATCCAAAATGCCCAAAATCCAGGTCCCAAAACTATCAAAATTCAGGCCCCAAAACCACCAAAATCCAGAGCCTAAACCCACCAAAATCCAGACCCAAAATACCCAAAATCCAGGGCCCAAAATGGCTAAAATCCAAATCCAAAATGCCCAAAAGCCAGGGCCTAAACTGCCAAAATCCAGGGCCAATTGTCCCAAAATCCAGACCCTAAGCCCACCAAAATCCAAACCCATCAAAATCCAGGGCCTAAACCCGACAAAACTGAGACCCAAAGCCAACAAAATCCAGATGCAAAATGCCCAAAATCTTGGTCCTAAAGTGCCAAAATGCAGTCTCAAAACCCACCAAAATCCAGGTCCCAAAACATCCAAAATCCAGATCTAGAATCCCCAATATCCAGGTCGCAAACCCACCCAAAATCCAAACCCCAAATCCCCAAACCCAGACCCCAAATCCCCAAACCCAGATCCCAAATCCCCAAACCCAGATCCCAAATCCCCAAACCCAGATCCCAAATCCCCAAACCCAGATCCCAAATCCCCAAACCCAGATCCAAAATCCCCAAACCCAGATCCAAAATCCCCAAACCCAGATCCAAAATCCCCAAACCCAGACCCAAAATAGAACTATGGGCAGTTGCGATGGAAGCAGGTGAGTTCCAGCGCCCAATCCCCCCCCGATCCCAGCAGGAGGAGGGAATTCCCAGTGCCCCCCTACCTTGCTGACGTTCAGGGAAGCTAAGGGGGGAGGCGTTTCCGTGTGGTCATTGATTATTTCCACTTCTGACACATACTGTAAGTTTACGAGCAGGATGTCTGCGTGGTTGGGCTTCCCACTGGACGAAGGGCATTCTGGAAGGGGGAAAATTAAGGAAAACGAATCCAGAGGGAGGTATTTATGGGCTTGACACAGCCCAGGAGCAAACCAGGAGAAGGTTTGGTTGCCAGTGAGTTCCTCCACTCCCGTGTCCCTGCCCAGCCAAGCTTGGGGTCATCCATGATCCCAGGAAAGCCACAAGTCTCTTTCTGGGGTTACTTAATGCTGATCCCAGTTTTCCTGACTCCAGATTGAGTTTTCCAGCCCTACCCAGCACAGCCCAGTCACTGGTTTGAACCAGCACCACCAAATCTGCACTTTTTACACCAGAGTATTTCCTCTGGCAAGAAGTGGCTCAGCCAGAGGAGCATTCCCTCACCTAGATGGAAAAGAATTCCCAGGAAAGGCCTCCTTGCCCTCACGCACGAGGTTGGTATCACTGTTGCAAATACCCCCACCCCCTTCCAGAACTGACAATTCATGGACTGCACGGATTTCTGCACTATCTGTTCTCATGAGGATGGACAGAGTAGGGAGCACAGCATGGAGACCCTCTTCCATGCCAACACCATCTCCTCATGGAAGAGATCCTTGTGGAAGTCCCAGTTCCTCTCTCCCAGCCCCCCGTGAGCCCAAGGTGGAGCCCTCCCTAAAAAATGCCATTCAATAATGATGAGAAAGCAAGGGATGCCAGGGAATTCCTTCACAGAATTCCGGTCTCTTCCTTCAGGAGGATGAGCTGGAGCATCCCAGCTTTGGCATGAGGAAGAGCCAGGCTCAGGGAAAAGCCAGAAGGGGAGCACTCAGTCCCCTCTGGAGCAGACCAGCAGCACTGAGACACCTGTTGGAAATCCTCTTGGATTTTCCTGCTGCCCCCAGTGGCATCTGGGAGCTCCTCCAACTCCAACCACATCCCAGGCACCCAGGGAGGCTTTTCCCATCGTGTTTAGCTTCTGCCACAAACCCCTCTCCCTGCCCCTCGTTCCCTCTGGAACTCACCCTTGGGCTCCCAGAACTCCAACCCCAGACCCAGGGCTGAGAACCCCCTTTTCCTTCTCTCCACGGTCCCTCCACAGTTTTCCAACAGCCCTTGGCTTTTCCCATTCCTTGCAGATTCCAAACAAAAGCATATACAAATACATATACATTGGGGGGCCCAGAGCACCCCCAAACCCCCTCATCTCCTTCACTTCCCAAGGTCTTCTCCCAGCACACTGGAGAGTCCACTTGTGTCCCCAAATCCCCCCTACACCCCCCTGCAGCCCCCAACCCTCAGACCTCATTCTGACTCCCCTTAAATCCCCCACAGGGGTCTCTTGACCCCCTTCCTATGGGATCCCACCCCTCCAGGCCTCCCCCATCCTCCCTGGACCCCCCCAGGCCCTGCCCACCACACAGGACCCCTCTGTGCCCTCTCTGCACCCTAAAATAGGTCCCCAACCCCTTCCAGGAACCCCCCAGGGTTCCAAAATCTGCCCCCTCTCAAGACCTCCCTCCTCCTCCCTGAACTCCACAGGGTGCCCCTGTCCCCCCAAAAACCCCTCCAGCCCTGTGGGAAACCCCCGATCCCAGGTCCTTATGGAGCTACACCCCCACCAAATCCCCTACAGGGATCCCCCAGAACCCTCCTACATGGCACCCACCCCCTCAAAACCCCATTGGAGGGCTCCCCAATAACCCCATTCTGGAGCTCCTGAGTCCCCCGAAACCTCCCTATAAGGCACTCCCACCCAGTAACTTCACTAAAGGGCTCCTCACTCCCTCCAAAACTACCCTACAGGGTGCCCCATTCCCCCAAAAAACCTCTATAGGACACCCCACTTTGCCCTAATAAGCCCACTAAAGGGTTCCCCACTCTCTCCTATTCACCCCACTAAAGGGCTCCTCCAAAACCAGCCCACTTCCCCCCCAAACCTCTTTATAGGGCATCCTCTTGCCCCCCCATTTACCCCAATAGAGGGCACCTCACTTCACCCCAAAAAACCCTATAGGACACCTCACTCCCCCACTCACCCCAATACAGGGTTCCTCACTTCCCCCAACCACCTCAATACAAGGCTCTTCACTCCTCCCCAAAACCTCTCTTGGGCACCTTCTTGCCCTCTCCTTCACCCCAATACCGGGCTCCCCAGTGCCCCCCAAAAAACTCTATGGGGCACCCCCTTGCCCCCTCTTAACCCCAATATAGGGCTCCTCACACCGCTCCATTCACCCTAGTACAGGGTTCCTCACTCGCCCTCAAAAAACCCTCCCTATATGGTGCCTCCCCCAATAACCTCACAGTGGCTCTTCACTCTCCCCCAAAACCTCCCAACCCCATTCATCCCAATACAGGACACCTCATTCCCCCTCAAAAAACTCTATAGGGCACACCACCCCCCACTCACCCCAATGCAGGGCTCCCCAATTCCCCTACCCAAAAAAACCCCTATAGGACACCACATTCACTCCATTCACCCCAATACAGGACACCTCATTCCCCCTCAAAAACCTCTCTATAGGGCACTCCCTTTCCCTTCCTTCCCCCCAATACAGGGCTTCTCATTCCCCCCACTCACTCCAATCCAATGCTCTTCACTCCCCCCCAAAACCTCTCTATAGGGCATCCCCTTTCCCTTCCTTCACTCCAACACAGATCACCCCACTCCCTCCCCAAAAAACCCTATAGGACACCCTGTTCCCCCATTCACCCCAAAACCGGGCTCCTCACTCCCCTCCAACCACACCAATACAAGGCTCTTCACTCCCCCCAAAATCCTCTCTAGAGGGCACCCCCTTTCCCTCCCTTCACCCCAAAACAGGGCTCCTTACACCCCCCCATTCACCTCAATACAAGGCTCCTCACTTCCCCCAAAAAACCCTATAGGACATCCCCCACTCCCCCCATTCACCCCAAATCAGGGCTCCTCACACTCCCCCATTCGCCCCAATAAGAGACTTCCCACTCCCCCCCCAAATCCCCCTGTAGGGCACCCCCTTCACCCCAATACAGCGCTCCCCACTCCCTCCTCGGGGGTCTCCCCGCTCCCCCCCAAACCCCTCCCCGGCGCCGCCCATCTCGATCCCCTCAGACCCTCATCCCTTCCCTCCCCTTTCCCCTCCCTCTCTCCCTCACCGCCCCCCCCCCATCATATCGGGCGGGCCGCAGAGGCCCGGGCGGGCCGCGGCGGGGGCCCGGGGACCACCGGGACGAAACACAGGCGGGCGGATACTGAGCGCCAGCATCTTGCTGGGGTAGTCGAAGGCGACGACCTCGCCCTGGAGGCGCTGCTCCTGGCAGGTGCGGCAGGACACCTGGCTGCCCACGCTGAAGTACTCGCCCGGCGCCGCCATCTTGTCCGCCCGCAGCGCCCGCGGCTCCGCTCGCCTCGGCCCAGGCGCGGCGGGGGGCGGGGCCGCCTCGGCGGCGAGGGCGGGGATTGGCGCTCCGCCCCGCCGATCTGCTCCGCCCCGCCTCGTGATTGGTCGAGCACCCGCGGGGTCTCGTCCCCCTTCCCCCGCGCCTGGCGGGGTTTGGCCCGCCCGCGCCGCCGTCAGCGCGCGGTGCCGCGGGGGGCGTCGGGAGTTGTAGGCGGAAGAGGGGCTGTGAGAGCAACGGGAGGGACGGTTTGGGGGGTTCCCCCGACATGGAGACCCCCCCGCAGGTACCGCCCGACCGCACCGGGGTGAGCGGGGAGCGGCGAGGAGCGCGGCAGGGCGTCTCAGAGGGTCACGCGGGCAATGGGAGGTCGCGGGTCTGGAGTGAGAGGGACCCCAGGGAGGCCTCGGGCCTGAGAGGCCAAGGGAGGCCCGAGGAGACCCCGAGTCTGATCCAGGGAGACCCCAGAGAGGCCTCGGGGAAATCTCGGGGTCTGAGCCAGGGAGAGCCCTGGGAGGGTCCAGGCCTGAGACCACAGGGAAACCCCAAAGGGAGCCCAGAGAGATCTGGCACCTGCTTTAGGGAGACCCCAAAGAGATCCCAGAGAGCCCCTAGGAAGACCCTGGTCTTGCTCCAGGAAGACCTCAAGGAGTTTCCCTGCTTGAGACCACAGACAGACCCCAAAGAGACCCCAGGTCAGCTCCAGGGAAGTCTCAGGGGACATCCCAGTCCTCCTCCAGAGAGACCCCCAAAGGGATCCCAGGGAAGCCCAGGATCTGCTTTAGAGAGACCCCAGGGAAACCCCAAAGAGTCCCCAGGTTGGCTCCAGGGAAGACCCCAGGGAGACCCCGGGCCTGCTCCAGAATGACCCTAAGGAACTTTCCAAGGGAAGACCCCAAGGAGTCCCCAGGGAGGTCAGGGCTCTTTGGAGCAACCTGGCTGCTCCAGCAATTCCCACAGGGATTCCCCCAGGATCCTGCCCTGGCCCCCATCCCTGACTCCCAGCTCTGCTCTGCTGGGACCCCCCAAGCAGAAGTTTGGAAGTCCCTTGTGGGCAAACTTCAGGTGGTGAATGACTCCCTGGATTCTTGCTAAGGCATCCCTTGGGATCCAGCCACCTCCCGGGCCCTTCACAAGACATCCCATCCCTCAGGATCCAGCCACCTCCCACCCCCTTCCCAAGGGATTCCCTCAGGATCCAGCCACCTCCCAGCCCCTTCCCAGGGGGATTCCCAAGGGATCTGTGCCCAGCTGACCTCTGTCCCCATGTGCCAGCCGGGTGCCATGGATGCCCTGCACGAGGCCGGGATCTGGGCAGCCCTGGCCCTGCAGGCCGGGCCGCCCTGGCTGGAGCAGTTCTGGGTCTACCTGACATCCCACTTCGATCCCAAATCCATCTACACCTTCTGCTTCCCGCTGGCCCACGGGCTGGATGCCCGGGTGGGGCTTATGGTGCTCTGGATCGGGCTCGTGGCCGAGTGGCTCAACGTGGTCCTCAAATGGTGAGGGGGTGGCACTGGGGGTGGCACTGGGGGTGGCACTGGCATGGGGACACAGCTCAGGGAAACTCCCGGAGTTCTGGGCACAGACTCCCTGCAGCATTCCGCAGGGTCACCCGAGCTGCCCCAGGCATCTGCCAGGAATCCCTGGCAGAGAAAACCCCGGGAGGCATCAGGACTGCCAGGGATCCTGCTCTTCTGCTGTGGCTCCATCCCTGGCAATCCCAGGATGAGTGGCAGGGATCCTGCCCTCATGGGCCACCTGGGATGGGTGCAGGAATCCTGCCCTCCCACCGTGGATATATCCCTGGAAATCCCGGGAAGAGTGGCAGGGATCCTGCCCTCCTGCTGTGGCTCCATCCCTGGTAATCCTGGGATGAATGGCAGCCCTCCTGCTGGGGCTTTGTCCCTGGAAATCCCAGAATGGTTGGCAGTGATTCTGCCCTCCCAAATCCCCAGATACCATGGGATGGGTGGCAGGGATTCTGCCCTTTCCAATCCTCTGGGATGGGTGGCAGGGATCCTGCCCTCCTGCTGTGGCTCCATGCTGGGTTCCCCTGGAATGGGTGCAGGGATCCTGCCCTCATGGATCCCCCAGGATGGGTGCAGGAATCCTGCCATCCCACTCTGGCTTCATCCCTGGAAATCCCAGAATGGTTGGCAGTGATTCTGTCTTCCCAAATCCCCAATACCATGGAATAGGTGGCAGGGATCCTGCCTTTCCCGGTCTTCTGGGGTGGGTAGCAGGGATTGTGCCCTCATGGATCCCCCAGGATGGGTGCAGGGATCCTGCCCTCCTGGATCCCCTGGGATGGGTGGGAAGGCTCCGTGTTTTCCATCCCTCAAGGTTCCTGTTTGGGGAACGCCCATACTGGTGGATCCATGAGTCCGGGTTGTTCTCCCAGGAGGAGCTGGAGAAGTTACCACTGCGCCAGTTCCCGGTCACCTGTGAAACGGGACCAGGTGAGTCACAAGTGAAGCCTTCATGTGTCCCGGACAACCCGGTGATCCCTGGGGAGGAGCCACAGGAGCCAGGAGGCTCCACCCCTGCAGGAATGCCGGGCTGGAAGCGGGAAAAGCCGTTCCTCAGCCAGGAAATATGAGGGAGCAGCAGGGAGCGGGTCCGACGCCGCCGGCGCTGGCACAGCCCTGCGGCACCAACGGCTCCGGGGCCAGGAAACCCACGGGAGAGTCTGGGAATGTCACTGCTACACCTGGGCTCCCTGTAAACGTGCCTGGAGTTTCGGGCACCGGCTCCATCCCCATCCCTGAGCCTCCAGGCCCAGCCAGGAGGGATCCCTGGGTGCAGGCAGGGTTAGGCTCAACATTCCCAGCTCTCATCCCGCTGGGACAAGCTTCCCCCGACCCTCCATGTGCTTCCCCCCACCCAGGGAGCCCCTCAGGCCACTGCATGATCCCCGGGGCGGCCCTGTGGCCACTTGTCACCGCACTGACAGCTGAGGTGGCCCGGAGCACTCGCAGGTGAGTCTGAGATGGGCAGCGCCTGGAAGCTTCCAGAGCACCTGTGGGAAGAGGGGATAGGATGTGGCACCCCTCCTTGGCAGGCAGCACCCATGGGAGATAGGCAGGATGAGTCCTGGGATGGGGAAACTGTCGCTTGGAAGTTTCCAGAGCACCTGTGGGAAGAGGGAGGTGGGATGTGGGACCTTTCTTAAGTGGGCATGGTGAGTCTGGGATGGGGAAACCAGAGCTTGGAAGCTTCCAGAGCACCTTTGGGAAGAGGGAGGTGGGCCGGATGAGTCCTAAGATGGGGAAAGCAATGCTTGGAAGCTTCCAGAGCACCTGTGGGAAGAGGAGATAGGATGTGGGACCCCTCCTTGGTGGCAGGGGGAGTCTGGGATGGGCAGTGCTTGGAAGCTTCCAGAGCACCTTTGGGAAGAGGCGGGTGGGATGTGGGACCCCTCCTCAGCAGGGGGTGAGTAGGATCCCTTCCCCTCCCAGCAGGGCAGCTCCAGGGGGACACATGTCCTGGCAGCTCAGGAAGAGGCTGTGAGACCCCCCCCTAACATTTTTTCTTGCCTTCTTCACCTCTGCTTCACCCATTCCTGCTGCTCGGTGGGATCAGTCCTGCCCTGCCTGGCCAGAGCAGGAGCCAGGGGCTGCCTCCCTCCATCACTGACCCCGGTTCCCTTCCAGCCGGGTGCTGAGGCTGATCCCTTTCCTTGCCTACATCCTCTTCCTGGTGGCCATGGGGCTCTCCCGGATCTTTGTCCTGGCCCACTTCCCCCACCAGGTGGTCACCGGCATCCTGGCAGGTGAGGGGAGTGGGGGGCACACATATCCCAACACCCCATCCTGGCTCAGGGTGTTGGGGGCACCTTCCCCTTCCCTCGAGCCCCTTTCCCAGTCCATCCCAGTCCCAAACCTGCCTGTCCCCTGTGCCAGGGTCGGCGCTGGGCTGGGGGCTGCAGCGCTGCCCCCCCAACTTCCGCGTGTTCCGGTTCTTCGTGGCGGTGGCTGTGGTACTGATGCTGAGTGCGCTGGCCCTGCACAGCCTGGCCACGGCTGCTGGCATCGACCTCGACTGGTGAGCGCCCAGGGAGGATGGGGGATATCCCCAGGGATCAGTGTTCCAGGGTGGAGGGGGGTATCCCCAGGGATGAGCCCCTCAGGGTGGCAGGGTGTATCCCCAGGTTCAGCCTTCCAGGGTGGAAGGGGGTATCCCCAGGGATCAGCCCCTCCAGGTGAAGGGTGGTTATCCCCGGGGATCTGTTCCCAGGCTATTGTGGGGAACAGCCCCAGGGATCTGCCTCCAGACCATTTTGGGATGGGACTAACTGCAGGGATCTGCCCCCTACACAGTTTTTGGGAGGTGTTGGGGGGAACAGCCCCAGGGATCTGCCCCAGACCATTTGGGGAGGGGGCTACACAGAGATCTCCTCTGAGACTGTTTTTGGGATGTGTGTGGGGGTACTAACCCCAGGAATCTACCCCCAGGCTGTTCTTTGGGGAGTACTATACCCAGGGATCTGCCCCCAGACTATTTTGGGATGGGAGTAACCCCAGGGATCTGCCCCCTACACTCTTTTTGGGAGGTGGGGGGTGGTCCTATCCCCAGGGATCAGCCCCCTACACTCTTTTTGGGAGGTGGGGGGTGGTCCTATCCCCAGGGATCAGCCCCCAGACATCTGGGGATGGGGGGGGGTGCTATCCCTAGGGATCTGCCCCCCAGACTGTCAGGATCCACTCTGACCTACCCCCAACTCATTTGAGGAGGGGGCTACCCCAAAGACCTACCCCCAGCCCCTTTTTGGGGTGGGGGGAACACCAACCGCGGAGCCCCCCCCGCAGGTCCCTCCGCCTGGCCAGCGCCTGGTGCTCGGACCCGGCGTGGCTGCGGCCAGACACGCGGCCCTTCGCCTCGCTGTGCCGGGTGGTGGGCAGTGCCCTGGGGCTGGCCCTGGCCGCCGAGACCCCCCTGCGCCGCCGGGACGAGGACCAGCTCCTGGATGGCCGCCTGCGGGTGGCGAGCACGGTGCTGGCCCTGCTGGCCCTGCAGCTGGTGCACAGGCTGCCCAGGCCCTCGGACGCGGCCGCCCTGTACAGGCACGTGGTCGTGCACTACGCGGCCGGGCCCTTCCTGGTGGTCTCCGTCCTGCCCCGGTTCGTCATCGCCCTCAGGAACTTCCTGGAGCCCTCCCAAGTCCCCCCCCACACCAATTAGGAGGCCTCCGCCCTTGTTCTGGCTTGTTCTCGGCCTCATAGAGTAGGGGGATCCCTGACCTGCCCCGGCTCATCTGAGAGTCCCCCCCACTGAGTAGGGGGGTGCCCACTCCCTGCCCTGGCTCATCCTCAGCTGCGCCCAGGGTCCCCCCTCCTGCCCTGGCTCATCTTCACCTTCACCTGCCCCCGGGGACCCCTCAGACTGAGGAGGGGAGTCCCTGCTCATCCTCACCTGCCCCCAGGGACCCCCCACACTGAGTAGGGATCCCCCTCCTGTCACGGTTCATCTTCACCCTCACCTGCCCCGGGGCCCCCCCAGTGCAGATTAGGGGGGTCCCTGCACCTCTCCCAGCTCATCCTCACCTTCACCCGCCCCCTGGGACCCCTCACTAAGTAGGGGGTCCCGGCTCATCCTCACTCGTCCCCAGGGACCACCCCCCCACCGATTTGGGGAGTCCCCGCCCCCTCCCGCTGATTCCCACCCCCCGTCCCGGCTCTGCCCTTTGCTGTGCCCATCGCCGGTGGCTTCAGGCCAGGGGAACCCCTCCAGGCCCCCCCAGTTGTTGCACTAACAGCCCTGTCCCCCCTCCCCCGGGCAGCAGGACCCCCCCGGGGGGGCAGAGCTGGGGGTGCCCCGTGCCCAGCAGGTCTGGGGACACAGCATAGGGACAGCCCCAGCCCGGGGGTCACTGACCTGCCACCCCCCTACCTCCAGCTGCCCCAGTTCTCCCAGTTCTCCCCTCTCTGGAGCAGGGATGGGACCCCCCCCCCCCAACGCCGGGAGCCCCCCTTATACCACCGGAGGCGGGGGGGTCACCTCGTTTCTTACCAAATAAAGCACCAAAACCAACCCACCGGGCTGAGTCCTGCAAAGACGGGGCGCACAGGCAGAGCTAGGGGGTCCCAGGGCAGGGCTGGGAGGGGGACAGAGCCCCCCCAGCCACAGTGGGGGGGGGGACAGGGACGGACAGAGCCCCTCCAGACACGCTGGGGGGGACACGGTGGTCCCCTCCCTGCACCAGTTGCTGTAGGTGGGGAAACCGAGGCACAAGGGGACACCAGGAAGCCTTGGGGACACCAAGGGATGGGAACAGGGACACGGGGACCCTCCCCACCCCCCAAAGGCAGTGGGGGCCGGCGGGTATTGCCAGAAACAGTTTATTTATACAAGGACGAACATCGGTGACATCTTACAAAATACTGAACCGAGACCCAGAGCGAGCGTGAGCGGGGGGTGGGACGGACAGCAACCGAGGGGGGGACACGGGGGGACACACGGGGGTAGAGGGGACACCAGCCCAAAGCAAGCCGGGCACACTGCTGGGGGGCCGGCACCCCCTTCCCCCCATCCCGGGGGTGTTTCTCCTTCCCGGGATGGGGATCTGGGACCCCCCCCCACCACCACACACGGGGTGTCCCCAACACTGGGGACACCTACACTGGGGTCCTCACAATGACACCCCTCCCTTCCTCACCCTAAACCGGGGTTCTTTCCCCCCCACCCAGGGTTAGGAGAGGTGACCAAGGACATGCTCATCCCTCTGTCCTAAGTTGGGGACCCCCCCAAATTCCCATCACCCCCAAAATAACCTACAACGTGCTGTCCCTGTCCCCGCCCCTCCACCCCCCCATTAAAAAAATACTATTAAATAATCCATCTGTAATAAAATTATATCCCTTTTTAGGGGGGTGGTTGGGTAGTTTTCTCTCTTTTAAAGCTAAAATTGCTCCGAGGCCCCTCTGGCTGGTGATAAAACTGGAAAATTAAGTGGTTTTTTCTCTTTTTTTGTGTCTCTTTTTTTTTTTCCTCCTCTAAGAACAAATTTGATCCCAACGAAGGGGTGACAAAGGGATGGGGGGACACACACAGAGCTCGGCCCTTTGTCTCGTGTCCCTGTCCCAAATGGGGAGGCCGAGGGGAAAAAAAAAAAAAAAAACAAGAAAATTAAGAAAACCCAAAATTAAGGGAAATTAAGGCATTAAAAAAAAATAATTAAAGGCACAAATATTTCCCATCGCCTCCCCTGGGGGTGGGGTTGGAGGAGCAGGGGGGGAACAAATGCCAGAGCTGAGGAGGGAACAAAGGGGGGGACACACACACAAAAAATAGAAGGGGAATTAAGGAAAAATCCCTAAAAAAAAAGAGAGAGGAGCGCCGGGGGGGTCCGGGCAGCGCCGGGGGGGACCCGACGGACACGGTGGGGACACGGGGTGCTGGTGGAACCGCTGCTGCACAAGAGACACAACCGCAAACACCGCGGGGGAGCCAGGGGGGGCACTGGACAGGTAGGGGGGATTTTTTTTTGTGGTTTTCTCCTCTTTTTAATAGAAAAAGAAAATATTTTCCTCTTTTTTCTGGTTTTCCTTCCGGTTTTTTTTTTTTTTTTTTTTTTTTTTTTTTTTTTTTTTCTTTTTTTTTTTTGGTCTTTTTTTTAAGTGCTTTTTTTTCCCTTTTACTGTGATTTTTTTCTGTGTGTGTGTGTGTGTGTGTGTGTGTGAGTTTTTTCATCTCTTCTGGGTGTTTCTTGGTTTTTTCGGAGGCGGGAACGATGCAGGTGGGTCAGAGCGTAGGCTCAGCCTCCATCGGCTCCTCCACTGGTCTGGGAAGGGGAGGGACACGCCAAGGTGGAGGACACGTGTGTTTCACACACCCCACACCCCCCCCAGACACACATGTCTATCACTCCTTCCAGGACACACCTGCTTCATGCACAGCCCCAGGGACACGTGTCCTCCCTGAACACACACATGTGGCTCCATGCACAGCCCATGGGACACACATGTCCCAGAACACACATGTGACTGTGAGCATCCCAGGGGAACATACATTCCCTCCCCCCGAGGACACATGTGGCTCCATGCACAGCCCAGGACACACACATGTCCAAGAGGACACGTGGCTTCTTGCACACCCCCAGGGACACGTGTGTCCCCCAAGAACACACATGGCTCCATGCACAGCCCATGGGACACACATGTCCAAGAGGCCACAGGTGGCTTCTTGCATGCCCCTAGGGGAACATGCAGCCCCCCCCAATGACACACGTGGCTCCATGCACACCCCAGGGGGCACCTGTGACTCCATACAGAGCCCTCGGGACATGCACACCCACAGGGGCACGTGTCCCCCAAGGACACACATGGATCCATGCACACCTCCAAGGGAACATGCAGCCCCCCCATGACACAATGTGGCTCCTTGCACATCCCAGGGACATGTGTCCCTCCCCACAATGACACATGTGGCTCCACGTGTCCACCTCAGGGACACATGTCTCCCCTGAACACACACACACACGGCTCCACACCCACCCCAGTGACGTGTGTCTCCCCTGAACACACATGTGCCTCCATCAAACCCCAGGGACATGTGTCCCTCCCCACAATGACACATGTGGCTCCATGTACCCCGCCAGGGACATGTGTCCCCCAAGGACACACACAGATCCATGCAAATCTCCAAGGGAACATGTAGCCCCCCCTGACACAATGTGGCTCCATGCCCACCCCAGTGACACACGTGTCCCACCCCATGACCCGTGTGCCTGCACACCCAGCGGGGTCCCCAGGGGCCGTACCTGGGCTGGGGGTCTCCCCCGGCCTGCTCGGCGCCCACCGAGAGCAGGGCCATGGCCGTCACCGTCTCGGCCTCCTCGGCCTCCCTGCGCTGGGCCTCCAGCAAGGACCGGCCCACGGCCGCCGCGAAACGCCGCACGGACCCCCAGTGCTTGCCTGCCGGGGGCAGCGTGACAGGGGACACCCGGGCTGGGACAGGTCAGGGGACCCCCAGGGACCCCATGGCTGAGATAGACCCAGGGAACAAGGACCACATGGCTGAGACAGACTCAGGGGACCTCCAGGGCTGCAATGGACCTGGGGGACTCCCAAGAACCCCAGGGCTGAGACAGATGCAGGAGACCCCCAGGGACCCCATGGCTGAGATGGAGCTGGGGGACCCCCACGGCAGGGACAGACCCGGGGGACCCCCAGGACCCAGGACTGGAACAAACCCAGGGGACCCATGAGACCCCAACAGTTGAGATAGACCCAGGGGACCCCTGAGACTCCCACAGCAGGGACAGACTCAGAGGACTCCCAGGAACCCCATGCTGGGACAGATCCTGGGCACCCACAAGACCTCCATGTCAGGGACAGCCCTAGGGACCCTTCTCGGTCCTCCCTCAAAAGAGAGACAGTCCTGGGGACCCCCTCAGGATCCCAGTGGCAGCACTGGAGACCCTCCAGCTCCTTCCACAGCAAGGACAAACCCAGGGCCCCCCCACTGGGGTCCCCCAGTGACTCTTTTGTGCCCCCCCAAGATAGAATCAGCCCTGGGGACCCCCCAGGAGACCCCATCAGGGTCTGCCCCTGCCCCCCGTTCTCACTCTGGATCTCGATGACCTTCTCCAGTGTGGCCACTGCATTCACATTTGGCTTCTGCTGCAGCAGGGACGGATCCAGGGGCTCCAGCTGGGGAGAGGGGACACACATCAGTCCCCCAAAACCGCCACCAGCACCCCCAAACCCCCCTCAGAGAGAGCAGGGATGGAACCACAGCTCCTCACCAACCCACACAGGGAAACTGAGGCACGACACGGGGTGGGCACCTCAATACACCCTGCCCCCGGGTGGGGTCCTCAGGGATTGAGGGGGTCCCCACCGTACCTCCAGGCCGAGCAGGGCAGAGACACAAGCCTCGGAGGCGTCGCAGATGGCCGTCAGGTCGTGGCCCCCCTCCAGCGCCAGCACCACCCGGCCCCCTGCCAGCATCATCAGCTGCTTCGTCAGGTGTCCAAAACCTGGGGGCACCGGGGAGGGGGGGTGAGGGGTGGCTGAGCCGGGGTCCCCAGCCCGGGATGCCCCCGGACCCCACTCACACTTGGCGGTGACAGAGTAGCCACCGAGCGGGGACAGGTGGCCCTCGACGGCGTCGAAGCCAGCGGAGACCAGCACCAGGTCTGGGGAGAACTCCTTGGCGATGGGCATCACCACCGTCCTGGGGGGCACAGGGTCAGCCAGGGGCAAGGGGACCCCCCCCCAGGGCTGTGGGGAGCCCCTCAAAGTGCAAGGATCCTTCCCAGGGTACAGAGAACTCCCAGGACACAGGGATCCTCTAGGGTTTGGGAACCCCCTGCAGGACACAGGGATCCCCTCTGGGGAGTGGGGAACCCCCCCAGGAGTGCAGAGACCCTCCCCAAGGTGTAGGGGAACCCCCAGGGTGCAGGGTCCTCCCCCAGGACATGGCGATCCTCTGGGAGGACCACCCCAAGGGTACAGAGAACCTCCCCCAGGACATGGGGATCCCCCTGGGTTGTAGGGACCCCTCCCCAAGGGCACAGGGATGCTCTCAGGATGCAGGGACCTCCCCCAGGGGCATGAGGACCCCCTCAGAACTCCCTGGGGTGCAAGGACCCCTCCTCAAGGGCATGGTGACACACCCCTCCCAGGATGCAGAAACCCCTCAAGGGCACAGGGACCTTCCTCCACAGGGACACCTCCCCAAGGATGCAGGAACCCCCGCCAAGGGCATAAAGACCCCCCCAGGACACACAGACCCCACTAAAGGGGCGCAGGAACCCTCTCCCCAAGACGTGGAGACCCCTCTAAGGGCACAAGAACCCCCCCAAGGGCGCAGGGACCTTCCTCAGGGTACAGAACCCCCCCCCAAGGACATGGAGACGCTCTCATCTGGACCCAGCAACTCCCCTTGAGCCCAGGGACCCCCCCAAAGGCTCAGGCGCCCTCCCAGACCCCCACCTGAAGGCGGTCAGATACTCCACGTCCCCGATCGGGGGGTCCACGCCGCCAGTCCAGGCGATGTTGATGTTGTAGCCCACTCCCAGCCCACTG